CAGGACCCACATGGACCACAGGGTGAGCGCCCCCTGCTGGCCCCACTAACACCTCTTCCAGCAGCAACCTTAGCTTTTCCCAGGCGGTCTCCTATCCAGGTACTGACCAGGCTCACACCTGCTGAGCTTCAGTGGGTTGCCAGTTGTGAGTTGCAGGGTGATATGGCTGCTGGCATTGTACAGTTTTGCTAAATTATCCTTCTATAGTATGGTGATAGATACTATTGACTGTAGAAGACAGCTGGAAATGGGATTCCATAGCCACTTACAAGGAGCTGTGAGAATTTACCATTTAAATTATACAAAACAAGAAATATGAAGCATTTTGCTGGGCTGTGCTTTGTGCTAGAACACCAGAGGTCGACAGCTTGCCTTTCCTTACTGCTTTCAGTTATATTCAAAGTGCTTTATTGGCATGACCAATGAGTAAAATCAGTGTTGCAAAAGCAAAACAAATACAATTAACATAAAACAAAAAATCTACAGACATTTACAATAAAGACACAATCATAAGATATTTACATATAGACATATGGAGCATTATTGGGAGACAAGCTTACTGTTCCTCAGGCTGTGACTGGGCTGCCAGTTCAACTGAGTTCCTTCCTCCCTCTCCCAGTAGGATTGGGAATGCTGGGATTAGATGTGTAAATTTGGGGGAAAGTGCTTGTCTAATCCCAGAATATTTGTCGCAGTGCAGTAGGAAACAAACTCGATCATCACGTTTGCGTACGATACTGTACAACGATCATCTGTGCTTGATCATGAACGGTAATGAGTCCGTGTAGAGGGAGGAGGAAGAAATGCTGACAGCATGGTGCCAGGACAACAACATTTCTCAAACACCAGCAAAAATAAGGAGTTGATCGTGGACTACAGGAAGCATCGAGGAACAGACCGCGCACCCATTCACATCAGCGGGCCCGCAGTGGAGAGAGTCAACAGTTTCAAATTCCTAGGTGTCAACATCACAGACTATCTAACCTGGACCCACCACACCAACCTCGTAGCCAAGACAGCCCCTATTCTTTCTCCACAGACAAAAGAAGTTCAGCATGCCGTCGCACATCCTAACAATTTTTTACAGGTGTGCCACTGAAAGCATCCTAACCGGCTGCATCAGTGCCTGTTATGGTAACTGCTTCGCCCGAGAGCGCAAGGTACTCCAGAGGGTGGAAAAACTGGATCAAAACACTACCGGGTGCGCGCTACCGAACATCGAGGATATCTACTCTGTTAGACACCTCAGGAAGGCCAGGTCTATCCTCAGGGACCCCTGAGTCACCCTAACCACAACTTGTTCTTTCTAGTACCATCTGGAAAACAATACCGAAGTAAACAGACCAAGACCACCAGGTTTCGTAACAGCTTCTTCTCCCAGGCAGCTAGACTGTTAAACAGCCAGACACCTGCAGTTACCCAAACGGCCGCTGGTGAATAGGCAACCACTTGAATTGACAGGGTGCACCGGCGCCCTCCTGTCACTTGCACTCTTGGGACACATACGATCCTTGTGTTACTTTCGCACAATCTGTATACAGTATTGTAAATTGGAATTGTGTAATTTATCCTAATGTTAATCTAATCCCTCTAAATTCCTGTCCTTCTGCTTTTCTATCCCTCTTAATGAGCTCGTGGACACTTTTAACGAGCCCGCAGACAAAGCATTTAATTGCCGACAACACCGCTGTAAGCTGTACTGTTCGTGCATTGATAAATAAACCTTCACTGATTGATTGATTGGAAGTGCATCTCTGTCTCTATTTCTCCCTGCTGACAGTGGGAGCACAGCCTGTCCTCTCTGGGCAGCCAGGTCTGTCTGTGTCGCCCAGTTTCTATGTCCAGGCTGTGGTCACTGAGGCTGTACTTCATCAGGGTCTTTTTATTTTCGCTGTTTCTTATCTTGGTTAAATATTTGGCTAGTGTGTATTGTCTGTTTAGGGTTCTGTAGATTTCTAGTTTATGTTGTGTTTGTGTGTGTGTGTCCCAGTGTGTGAGACATTGCTGTTTGATCTGTGCTGTGATGTGGTTGATTCTGATTGTGGTGCTCTAGCAGTGCTGTCCTGAGGCTGGCTTGTGTGGATGTGTGGCTCGGGCCAGTGAGCCTCAGGGCCAGCTGGCTCAGAGGGCTCTTTGTTGGGCTCAGCTCTTGGCTCAGCAGGGCCTTGTGATGGTAGGAGTTTTGGTTGCTGTTTCTTAGGTGGAACCAATACTTTATTACTCTCCTCTGTATGTTTATCAATAGTGGATATTGGCCTATTTCAGCCCTGCACGCATTGTTAGGTGTTTTTCTCTGCACATGGAGAATGTTTCTACAGATCTTCATGTGCAGAGTTTCTATGGGGTGTTTGTCCCATTTTGTGTAATCCTGGTCTGTGAGAGGACCCCACACTTCACTACTATATAGAGCAATGGGTTGGATTACACTTTCAAATATTTGGAGCCAAATTCTTGTTCGTGGGTTGATGTTGAAAAGCCTCCATCTTACTGCATAGAAGGCCCTGCGTGCCTTCTCCCTCAGTGCCTTCACTGGCAGGTCAAAGCTCCCAGATGAGTTTATAGTCCTCTAATGAGAAAGCAGGGGAATGGCCTGCCAATTGATAAACAGTACTCTTCTGCACTTGTGTTTCCCTGTATGGAGCTAAACTGTTTCAACCAGTCGTTAAGAGGGCCTGTCATCACTGGCCGTGTTAAGGAAAGAGCAGATTTGGTGGGCAGTGTGAGTGTAGGTAAGAGTTACAGACCTGTGCTTCATGTCTTTACAAGGGTTTTTTAGAGTGCGGAACAAGCTACCCAGCTACATGGATGAAGAAATATCTCAGTTTCCTTCAAAAAAAGCCCATCTCTTCTCCACTCCTGCAGTCTGCAAACAGTCACCTCTAACTGTTTCACAATGAGCACTAACCCCAAGAAAACCCTATTAATACACTAACAGCATTAACGAACCAGTGAGAATGTGGCTTCTGAACCGTTCACTATCTTACAATGATCTAAGACTCCCATTGAACCTATTATTGAATGATAGGGGCTTTTAGCGGCCTCTAGCGGGAGGTCTGTTGTTATTGCAGTCCCTGAGATTCCCCCGGTCACTTACAGCTGAAGAACCTTTTCCAACCTATTGACATAAATCCGTGTTGCACCATAGTGCAATCTGCACACATGTAAGGGGTACAAAAGGTGAGAAATTAAGAAATCAATGCGCCTGTTGTTCCCTTGTCATCCCATTTAATGTTTGTATAACGTTGTGACATAAACTCCGCTATTAATAACTGTGAGGTTCAGCTGTTTTAAGGGATAATGTTATTAGCTCTTCTGCTAGCGAGCGTGCAGCTCAGTGTCACAGGTGCTGAGTGGTATAAGTGGATTGGGTCTCCCTGAATAACCCTCAAAGCTCCCCCCGCCCCTCTCCACGCCTTAGCTCAGGGGTTCCCAGTCCTGGGACCCCACACCTGCTGGGTTTCACCGAAGCTCAGCTCTCGACTTTAAAGTATCCTTAGCTGAACCAACCAGC